CGATAATGCCAGTTAGATTCTGAAACTTTAGCTTTGTCCAAACTGCGGACCCCGAGTTAATTTGATTTGTCCCCAGGAAGCCGATGCAATTTGGTTATCTTTTTCTTGCAGTCTCTTGTAATTTTGCTTTGAAATAACTTTTTCCCTTGGGGATCACAGGGGGAGGTCTCTCTTCTTTGTTCTCGTCAGCTTCAGCTCTTTCTTGATTTCATGTCCCAACAGTTCATTACATGCTCGCATGCTACAAAAGCGTAACACGGTACTAGAGGATCTTCCATTTTAACTTAAGATTTTGGGGCAAAGGTGCTCCAAACAAAGGAGACAGCAGACATGGAGACTCAGGTTTGGATGCTTCTACCTTTTGAGGATTTGGTGACTACAATTGCAAAGTCCTGGGGACGGACAGTTTGGACCCCGGGTCACTATTTTATTAGCAAGCTCCAGAGCCAGCATGAAAGCACAGCCAAACCCAGTCAGACCCATCTGCCTAACAGAGCCACTTGTATTCCACGGCCTCAGCCGAGTCCTCGGGTGTGGGAGCAAGCAGAGAACGCACTGTTTCATGTGCATGTTGATTTATTCAGCCCGCTGTAAGTTACACACCAAGCCTACCTCCTTCCCTGCTGACTTCATCACTTTTTCTGCTACATCTCCAAGAGGACACATCCCTGGTTTTTAACAGGGCGAGTGCAGATCCGGACAGGAACGCAGGAAGGCAAGCAGCGCCTTCGCTCTGACAGTTCATTTCTCTGAGGAAGTCTTCCCAGCAACAGGAGGCTGCAAAGAGAAAGGATATCGAGGTTGCCTAGTACACGCTGTTGGGGCTGGAGGAAAGGAGCTCAGCTGCATGAGGAACAATGCCATGATCACACAAAACACACCAGCGATTGTACGAAGAGGCTGGGACCCCCGGGCGCTGTAAGCGGAGAGCTGCGGGTTGCTCTTCAGTCTTACTGGAGGGAGCGTACCACCCGGAACCGGTGACCCGGAGCGTGGGTCTGTCAGTACAGCCTCACGTAACCACCACTAGCCCGGAGTCCTGAATTGCTTCGGCTGTGACCACACTGCCGGGTGAACAGCCTCCAAGTCACAGCCAGACAAGCTTAGAGGCTGGGGGTGAGGGGGTGGAAGTGAGGCCCACGTGCACCCGAGAGCAGGAGTGCCTTCCCAAACAGAACTTCATGTGGTTTTCCCAGGCTGCGATGACTTAGCATCACCGCTGCAGCCGTTAGCCAGTCTCTGATGGGGAACAGGAGCTCTCCAATAAACAGCATCATTTACGAGCAGATTAAGCGCTGTCAGTAGCCCAGCAGCCACATGCAATGCTGGAGTTTTGCCGAAACAACTAGGGGAGAGGAGGCCTTGATCTCGTCTGCTGCAGGCTCCTTTGCAGCCAACAACACCCTGCTCTCTCCACCCCTTTCACCTCCTGGGAATAACTTCCCTACCAAGCTCCAGGGCTTTCCAACATACAGTATGATCAGGCCCTACGTGACATTACT